TAAACTAGGTGTTTAAATGTATAAATCCCTAATATGGCTTAATATGTCACCCTTCCCGGGATTATTTTCACGTAAATGACAGATGAGCAGCTCAGTGCTGGAGGGGTAAATCTGTGTAGGAAGCCAGTAGTTGCAGTGGGGTGGGCAATGAGAAGGGAAGGTCCTCTCAGGACCTCTGAGGTCACACCATGGATCATATACCATTTGTAAGGCCAGACCCATTCCATTGGAACTGTCCACCTTTAGCTGCTCATCATCCACAACCAGTTCCTTAGACAGAAAGAAGAGTCTCTGACACTCAGGTGAAGAAAGCAAATGCTCTACCAAAGTGTCTGGCGGTCTACTGAGCACGCATTTCTTATATGGCTTTGGGCTCAGAAAGCACAGAAGTTATGGCCACAATGGCTGGAAATGCCCAATGCATTCATCAATAGCACTGTGGCCGCATCATGTATGCACACGTAGGAATCACTCCTAACACACCAGACAGACACACACGGGGTGTCAAGCAACGACAGGGCTTTCTCAAAGAGATGGGGATTGAAAGAATACAGTGAGTTCTGGAACAACTTTTTCCAAAGGCTATCGCCTAAACAATCTGGTTATTCTGTCCCTAATTCTGGAACTAACTAAAAACCAACCAACTAAACAAACAAACAAACAAAAAACAAACCAGAAACAAAGAAACCTAGTTTCTTAAGTGAGATGTGCAGGTGACCAGCACGCTGCAGTTTTGGTAATAGTTTCTTCACCTCCCATGCGGAGAATTCCCCCCCTTGGGCAACTCCCGATGGCCACGGAAGACTGGGCGGGCGATAGTCACTTAATTGTATAGAAGACTCCTATTTTATCACATTACACATGCGTTTTGGCACTACTGACACCACCAACACTTAATGGAACCATTTGGGATTTTTTTCTTCCCCCAATCACAACATGGCGGTGGCCAGGACGGGGGAAATCCACATCAAGAATGTTTCCCACGTTCTGGCTGAGGACACACAGTGACATACTTTAAAATTACGAGATCCACTGCACATGCATCACTCTGAAGGGTGTGCACATTCTTGCCTCGGGCAAATTCAAGGGGCACATCATCTGAGGTTGGTGGAGATGCTGAGAGTTACGCATTGCCACTGAGAGGACACCGGATCAGAGCCACCAACCCACTTCCCAGTGGAAGGGAATGACAGAGGACACCGAAGATAGAAAGCATGGATTCTGAAGAAAATGGGAACAACTGGTGCTCTCGAGGGTGTCTGTGGAAGCTCAGTTTGGGGCAGACTGGGTCTCTGTCCAGGCCCATCTGTGGAATAGATGGCGCTTACTGCTGAACTCATCCTCATGCCTTTTACTGGCTTGTGGTTTTGGAATGAAGGAGTATCTAGAACTTGACAATGCTTGGCCTTCCTTTCTTTACACTTCCTTGAGCAGGCCACGAACGCTTTATTTGGTCCCAATTCAAACATCCAGCTGAAGAGAAGTGACCAAGGGGCCCAACGAAAAGGTTTAGAAAAATGGAATGATCCAGCTGACAGCTTTCAGCGGTGGGAGGATAGGACAAAATATGATGTAACATCCTGCGTGAATGGATGTGGACAATTTCATCCCGTGGTAGGTAGAGAGAGGCTGCCACCCTTCTCAAAACAAATAATCCAGTGAAAGAAACTCTGTTTGTCTGGTTAAGCCAAGGTCAGGTTATGAATCCCCGGCTCAAGGCAAATAGCACCTTCCTGAGGGCAGAAACGAGGACAGGGCAAAACAAAGTCACTATTGGCACTGTGCCTCACATACCCACCCTTCTCTGTCTAAGACCGGCTTCTGCAACCTTGCTAAGAGAATCGTCTGGCCACTGAGCTTTGAGCAGATCTGGTCATCTTTTCTAGAAAAGCATGCATATTTGTAAGACACGTATCCAGTGCTACCTCCCTGTAACCAGATATCACATGCTTCAAAAAGTAGACCTGGTGGGAATTTTCTGGGTGTGCTTGCAGGGCTGATAGCTAAGGAGTGAGGGAGGGCGTAGGGAGGCGGCCAGTACTCAGGTGGCTAGGAGGAAAAGAGTTGGTTCGACGTGGTTGTTAAACATCACAAGAGGGCTTCTGGGAGATTTCTCAGGACCGAGCTTCGTGAAACCTCTCAGCCACATCAAGGCTGAGGGTCAACTTGACCCCATTTCTGATTTAAGCCCTTTGGGGACTCCTTCCTACCCGAGGTGCTGACAGGGAAAATCTGGTGCCACCAGCTTGACTCTGCATGGAATGCTGGTCATCTGCGGTCTACCTAAGAGACAGGAGCAGGGCCTGGGCCCTGCTCAGGGCCACGCTGGACCCAGTGCCAAGCCCAGGCTGATGGGCACGAACACTTCTCACAAACCAAGGAGACTGGGGAGGTGGGGAGGCGTGGACACAGATGACTTTTCCCTGGCATTTTCACCGCAGCGGCCTCCATTCACATACTTTTTCCCAGACACCCTGCAGCAAGAGCCGTACAAAACAATTCCCCCAATGGAAAATGAAAACCCGTAACAAAACACTTTTCCCCTCTTCATTCCCATCCCCACCCCACTCCCTCCAGCCCGACACCCTGAATACTCACAAGAGAACACTTTATCTATACAAAATTAATTAGAAAACAAAATATTTACATATGAAATAAACACCATCTTGACTTCTGTCACCAGTGGAGACCGACAGAGCCCCCTTTGTTCTAGATTGCTGTTCGCTAGGTTAGTTGGTTTGGTTTTTTCATTTGAAAGGGGTGAGGTAAGAGGAAGAGTGAGGGGAGGAGCCCCTGACCGAGTCAGGGGGAAGCAATGTTTATATGGCCCTTCTCCTTCTTCCTCCTGGAGACGCCTCACGCCCTCTGTCCTGTCTCTCAAAGTCTTTCCTTGCATCTAAGGTAAAGCACTCCGTGCTCCTCTCTCCAAATCTGTGAGAGGTTCAGCCCCTTGCCCCCAGGTTCGTCTTAGAAAGAAAACATAGCTTTACAAGGCCTTCAGTTGGCTTTAAAATGAAAGACACTGAGGTAAAAAAAATCAAGAAGGACGACAGGGGACAGCAGTCAAGGGCAGGGAGGGAGGAAGGGTAGTGAGTCAGGGCAAACAGGAAGGCGGAGAGCAGCCCTGGAGGGTGTGACTTGAAGAGGCATGGCAGCTTCCTTCCAGAGGAGGAGCACCTTTCTGGCTTATGTGTCCTGTGTGCAACATGGAGGTCCTGCCGTCAAGCTTCCAAACAGAGCCGGGGCTCTCTGGCTGCCAACCTGCGTGAGGGGAGGAGGGCAGGACGGTGGGACTGACCCACGGGACACCCCCTCCCTAAGTCTCAGGACCGGCAGTGACAAATATCCATCTCCCTTCTCAAGTTTCCAAGTGAAGGGGACATTGTGTCTGCCAGGACCCTCATCCCTGCAGTTACATAGATAGATAGATAGATAGATAGATAGATAGATAGATAGATAGATAGTACCATTCTTGGATGGTACACCTGGGAGGGAAAAAAAAGTTCTGTCGGAAGGTGGAAGGGCTTCTGCTGAGAGTGTTCACATTGGGCTCAATGCCACATTCTCAGGGAGCCACGGCCGGTGGGGCAGTGGGGGAGTGCCTCCCCTCCTGCCCTCTCCACTTCCAAATCTCTTCCCTTCCCTCTGTGTCTCCTGAGCTGTACTCACGGAGCAAGCTCATGCCATCGGACTGTCTGTTCCAGATCAGCTGTGATCAGTTCGGGTGGAGCAAGCTCTCCGAGCTCCAGGTTAAGTAAGAAGGGATCAAAGCATTGAAAACATCCCCCTCTCTCACTTACCCAACCAGAAACAACTCCCCTGTTCTTCAAAAGCTTTCCTTAGCTCCTCCCCAAACGCTGGCCAGCATGTAAAGAGCTCAGTACAGCTTCTATAGCGTCTTTTGCTCTCAAGGACGGGCCCGAGAGCCGAGGCCGCTACCCTTTCCCTTCAGCCTTCCTGGCAAGTTCTTGTTCAGAACAGGGTGAGCCACAGAGGAGTTACTTTTGCACCTTGGCTCTTGTGGGATCGTTCGTCACCTTTTTGTCTGGACTGCATAATCTCCCCTGTCAAGAACTTCCATTCTCCTCATTCAGGAAGGGTGCAGGGGAGAGACAGCCAGCATTCAGGTAGCGTACGACCACCTCTGTTTGTATATAAGCCAAAGCGAGCACACCACTTAGAGATGTTGAGAGAAACAGCTTGATGAGTCAAGGTTGCCTTCTCTACACTTCTAGGCCCCCGACTACATGCCTGTATAGACTACATGCACGTACAGGTGTACACAGACGCACACACACACGTAGTCCGTCTTCTCTAGTGCACCATGGAACACGGCTATGATGTGCCTTCTGTCATCCACCGATGACCCTTCGGCCCAGGTCTCCACCACTGAGCCTCAGGGAACGGAAAGATCTTTTTGGCTTATATATAAACACACATGGCCTCCTGCCCTCTGCTTGGCACGTGATTCCTACACAGACGCCACCTAAGTGACAAGAATTTAGCAAAAGCCTCCCTTCCTTCATGGGCAGTATGGTAAATGGTCTTATTTGGGCGCTTTTGCCTTCTCACCTAAACAGAGATCGGTTTGGGGAGAGCTATCCTGCGCTCACGCGGCCTCCGTCTGCTTCTCCCTGCTTCCCTCCACGGTGGGTGGCCGACAGTCTTTCCACGCTCCGGGGAAGCCTGCACGCAGCCACCTCCTTTCTGCACTCAGCCCTCCCGTGCTGAGCGAGCCCCCTGGCTTCTCTCCTGGGAACAGGAACGACTGACGGATGGAGAGGGAGGAGAGGACTGGAAAGGGAGGGGAGCTGGGGCTGGTCACCAGGGTTGCCCTCTTGGAAGGAATCAGAACTCCAGGATTCCGTAAAGAAATGAAAGCAACAAGAAAGGAGCAAATGGGAACCAAGTTCACCCCCGTCACCCTCCAGTGACATGCGCACCACACGCCCGCAGCCCCACCCTCCCGTACCCACCTTAAAACCTCTCTCTTCCCTCACTCAGACATCAGACTCAATACTAGAAAGTTTCTCATAAACATGCCCATTGCTGGAGCCATTGAAAGCCCTGGGGTTTTTGTTGTTAGGCACACAGGGGTTGGACTGGTTCCCTATACAGATGTCTTTCTGGAAACGGCCTGGCACAGCCCCGTGAAGGGCCGAGACCACCGGCTTGTTGGTGACAAGGGCCCGGAAGTCTGGCCTGGCTTTCGGCGCCCCCGCCACCGTGGGCTGCCTGAAGAAGTAGGATTTGCTGCCATGGAGCAAGCACTGGTCGTCCCCGAAAGTGGGGATGAAAGGGTTTTGCGTGACCCGGTCAGGGTAGAGCGACTTGCTGAGCATGTAGCCGCCGCCGCCGGGGTTGTTGTGGTGGTGGTGTCCGGCAGTGGGCACTGAGGACTTGTTGTTGGCAAAGGTGCTCTCGCCAGCTGGCATCTCAAACATGTGGGCGTAGGGACTCCCGTCCAGGAAGCGGCCCTTGTCTTTCAGGCTCACGCTGCGCGGGGCCAAGGCGGCTTCTTCCTTCTGCAGGTCCACGAAGGTATCGTAGGAGTGCTGCCGGCGCAGCTTGTTCCGGGTCTTCTTCTGCGCCTTGGAGTTAGTCGGGCTCTGGGGGTACTTGGTGGTGGGGGCGTTTGACGTCACGGCCACAGGGGCAGCCGGCTGGTCCAGCTCCTGCAGGGAGTTGTCCTCGCTGATGTCATACAGGTTACCGGCCTTCTTGCAGGCCTCGCAGCGGATGCACGCCGGCCTGGCCGAGTTCTGGCCGGCCGCTGCCGCCGAGTAGTTGTGCAGCTTGGATGGGCAGCTGCGGCAGAAGTTGCCGCCGCCACCGCCACCGCCGGAGCGGTCCTCCCAGTCCACGCTGGTCAGGTTCTTCTCCCAGGGCGCCGGGACCCCGCCGACCACGCCGTGCTTGTCGCCCGCTCCGTGTTTGAGGTGAGACCTGTTGGCACAGGGCCCTCCTCCGCTGACTGAGTCGCGCTTAAAGTCATCGCTCTGCTCCTTGTAGATGTCCGTCAGGTCCACGTGCTCCCAGTGTGGGGAGTTCTCCTTGGTGCGGAACTGGTCCAGGTAGAAGTCCCGCAGCCCTTCCTTGTCCCTGAAGTAGCGCTTGTGGTCGGGGGAGCGGGGTGGCCGGCGGCGGTAGGCCAGCTCGATCTCGTCAAACTCCCGGCGGGACTTGGCCGAGGCTGGCCGCTTCTTCAGGCTGTCCTTATACTGCTGCTTACGCCGCTTGGCGGCATTGCCCTCGATGTTTCCGTAGGTGACCGTGTGCGTGGAGATGTCAGACACGTCGGAGCGGATCAAGTCATCGTGGCCGCTGTAGCGGTCGCTCTTGAAGGAGAATTTGCCGTACAGGTCACTGAGCTGGCTGTGTTTGGAGGAGGGGAGGCCAATGTCCAGGGGCTTCTTGCTGATGGACCTCGGCTGCGTGGTGAAAGGCGGGTTGTCACAGTCGTAGAGCCCATCGATGGAGCTGGCGCTGCCAATGCTGTGGGGCCGGTGGTGGTGGTGGTAGTGATCTTGGTACACGTTGCTGTCCTTCAGCTGCAGGTTACCAAAAGTTCTCTCCACCTCACTGATGTAGTCGCTGAAGAGGTTCTCCTCGCACGGCGGGTTGTTGTAGGATTTGCAGTCCGAGTGGGTGAAGCTGCGGCGGTGCTCTGAGATGTCGTAGACAGAGGACTCGCGTCGGATGAAGTCCAGGGCACTCTGGGGGGAGCCGTTCACACCAGACAGGTTGGCCATGTTCTTGGCCGTGCGGAGCAGGCGCAGGATGTTGGAGTGCGTGTTGTTCATGGTTGCGGTGGGGGAGTTCATCACGGACTGGCGCTCCTCGATGGCCACTCCATGGATGCAGCTGTAGATACCCTGGAGCAAGGAGAGCATGACACGGATTAGGTCTCCAGCGAGGCTAGACATGACCCTGGAGAACGCTCTCCCCTCCATCGCTACTAATTGACTAGCTGGATAAGAAAAGTCAGGCTAAAACATGAAACGGTCTTAATATACTCATAGAATGCTGTGGCCAGAAGCTTGCCTGATTTGTCACCTTGTAGTTTCATGAGATGAGCTGAACTCAGTGGCGTGGCTCTCTGAGAGGGGACACGGCCACTCCAAGTGACTTGAGTAAATAGATTGGAATCATAAGACATGATATCCTATGCCTCGACTCCACCATTGACTTGCATTGATTTTCCTTCCTATGCCTACGTTTTTGCATTTTAAAAATGAGGTCATGATATTGGCTGATAGCAAAAATTACTGTCAGCCTCCTGGGAATCGATAGCAATGCTCCAGAGAAGCTGGGGCTGGTCTGCCCCGGGCTGGCCACCCTTGACTGGAGGTATGGCCCAGGGCAGCTCAGAGCTCCTCACGGCCACTCTTTTCCAGCTCTGACAAATTTTGAGTGGCTTTTAGGATTTTGGTCACCAAATAACAGCTCAGCGGTGTTCTCCTTGAGCCAAGCATGAACCAAATTCACAGAGAGAGAGTTGGGGAGCCCTGAGGTCAAGGAAGGATTTTTCTCCTGCTGTGCCCTATACCGTGGGAGGGCAGAATTGGGACAGATAGCAAGTACTAAGTAGGAATAAATAATTCCCTTGTTGAATCCTCTCACTTATTCTCTCTTTAGCTCCTGGTTTCCTTCTCATACTTTCTCACTCAATCTTATCATACATAATTAATATCGTAACAAATTAGTATTGATTGAGAACTCCCTGTGTACAGCTCCTTGTACCAGGCCTCAAAGTACACCACCCGGCACAGGGAATGGGTTGGGTTCAAGTCCCAAGTCAGGGAAACCTGCGAATGTCTTGCCCCCTGCCTTGGAAGGTGGACACATTTGGAACCTTTCTCCCTGGCAAGGGAAGTGTGGAGAGAGGAGGTGGTTGGAATTGGGTCTTTAAAACAAAGGGGATTAATGTGGGAAGGGCAGTGGCTCGACAGAGGGGGATGAAAGCAGAGGAGATTAGAAGAGAGAATCCCAGCTAACTGGGAGAGAAGAAAGGTTTGGATGAAGTGAGCCTCACCATCCCAGAGGGCAAGAGCAAGACCTAAGATTTTTGACGTAAGGTCACTCTGCTTACTTTCCTTCTTTCTAACCCTCCTTGATTGCGGCCAAGAAAAAGCATCAAGCATTTTCTTCTGCAGAGGCCTTGATTATGCTTCCAGGTTATGAATGGGATTCCTATTGCAGGCTACCAGCCCCTCCCCCCCATTCCTTCTGCCATCACCCTACACTGCACCTTATAAAGGGCTGCACACTGCAACAAGGTGACTCAGGGACCGCACATTCCTACCTCCTGCTTACAGGTTCCTGAATGGCCTGAATCAGCTCACAGCCAGAAAGGAAACTGTTCCTCATCACTAAAACACTACAGGAAAATGATGAAAAGATAGAACTACTTAATGAGAAATCCATTTCCTTACGTAACTCCATTTGAGCCAAAGTTAGTTATATCTGAAATCTAGGTCTCTAGTCTATAAAGGACAACTAAGGTCACTTCTCACGAATGAATCCCAAAACTTTATTTACAAAAATTAAAAGAAGCCTGCCTCCCCCCTTCCCAACCTCTTCCCTGTAATCCTCTGTTTATATTTAAAATTGGGTTCTGAATCCTCACTCTGGACTAGAAATGGAGAAGAGACCTAAGTAAAGAATGAATTAAGAATTATACTCTTGTTTCAATTAAGAAAGTTTCTGGAATATAAATTTCTTGTGGGTCAGTACTTATTTCTGAAGGTTCTGTTAAGCTCTTTAACTCTGCAAAGCTCACACCCAGTTCAATCAGACTGGAGCGGTGGAACTACCAATTATATATCTTTGTACGTCAGAATAAGAGAGATACACTACATTTTACTATTTGAATGGAAATGTGATTTTTTTTAAAAAAAAGATTAAATGATGAATACAGCCTATACAGTAACTAATGGTGATGCAAGGCATTTGGTAGAAGGCCAACATTTTCATTCTGATAGATCTGCCAGTTCTTATTGAGAACCAAAAGCCTGAACCCCACACACAAATCTGCTTCTTGAAGGAAAAACAGTATCCCACCCCCTCCACCGTTTTCTGAGCCACCTGAAATTACATCACCCGCCTGCCTGGGGAAATGTGCATGATGTAGTTTCTTGCTCTAGCTGCACAGGGCTGGAGTTTGTGCCCTCTGGGGTCTCTGAGCTTTGCATCGTGCTAGACTAAGCTCCCGACATCTCACACCACTTACTCTGCTGATGGAGAAGACCATGCCAGGCTTGCCAGAACAGACACCCATAAAGCAATGCCGGAACTGCCAATAGAAGAGGTGTTCACAGATGAAGGTGATGAGGCTGAGAGCCATGGCTGCCCCCAACATGTAGAAGACGCCCGCCATGTTGTCAATGTCCAGCTGGCTGCTCATGACTTCATTCTTTTCATTGTGGCAAATGCCAGTGAGCCAGAGGGCTTCCAATTCCTCCATCTCCCCTGGAGACAGGGCAGAAAGGAAAACGGGCAAAGAGAGAGGAGAGAAGAACAGACAAAGGGGACACAAAGGGTATTGGGGAAGAGACAGACACACAAGAGAGAGAAAGAGACAAAGAGACAGAAAGAAAAATTAATAGAGAAACTTCACAGTAATTTTATTAATAACACCATGTATTAATTCATCAGTGTATTCAATAACTATTCAGTGACAACTTCATGTACTGCAGTGACACAACGATATGGGGCATTACCTCTGCTCTTCATCATCTATCCAGTCCACATTGGCATATAAATAATCAATATGACCAGCAATATGCGGGTAACACAAGAGTTCAAATTCATGAGAGTAATTTTGTGGATGGCGTGACCAGTCAGTTTCCTGAGGAAGGTAAGACTTGGAGGTGGGCATAAGAAATGGGCGAATTTTAATTTATATTTCATGAAAAGGCACTCCAGGCAGAAAAATAGCATGATCAACGGGAGCGATGTGGGAAAACACAAGCCTTGTTTGGGAAAGACATGCAGAACAGCTCAGAGAAAAAGGGGGCAAAGGGAGCTGAACAAAAAACGGTTCATGCAAGATTGCTAAGGGCCTGAGTATCAGGCTAAGCACTTTGCACCTTCATTTGTAGATAGAAAGAAATAACATAATCAAACAAGAGATTCAGAAAATTGCTCTTAAAATATGTGCAAATCAGGGGCACCTGGGTGGCTCAGTCAGCTGAGTGTCTGACTTCAGCTTAGGTCATGATTTCAAGACTCCTGAGTTCGAGCCTCACATCAGGCTTGCTGCTGTCAGCGTAGAGCCTGCTTTGGATCCTCTGTTCCCCATTCTCTCCACCCTTCCCCCACCTCTCAGAAATAAAAAAGTAAAATGAAATAAAAAAGTGCAAATCAGATCGGCTTGGGGAAGGAGGGATGGAGAGAAAGAAGCAGAAAGACTGACTGATCCCCTACTGCCCCTCACACTTTCTGATCTCTTGTTGCAGAGGGAAATATTAAGAGTAAAGGGGAGTGAACCAGAATCAAATGAGACCACCAAATTTAGACTTGCCTCCTTGTAACACCGCTTAGAGAAGCTTTGATTGATTCAATTCGTGCCAGAGACAAATAACCGTTATTCACTTCACTGGAAACTAGGAATTAGGAAGAAAATGAAAAAAAAAAAAAAAATCCACATGCCCTAGAATGCATCTAATTCTAGGCAAACAAAATTCAGAAAGTCTCATGAAGAAAGCTACCTGTTCTAATCATTCCAGTTTGGTTAAAAGTTTGAACTTGGAGTAAAGTGATTGGAGCTTTGGCATCTTCTGCAAACCATATCTACTGCTACCCTTTCTCATAGACAGAGGCTCTGTTATTGCCTTTAGGTGACAGCTACATGAAAATTACAGAAGCCCTTATACCAACATGGCTTATACACTTCAGCTATAAGCCCTGTCTTTCCAATGTTAATCAGATCACTTTAAAACTTTTTTTAATGTTTAATTATTTTTGAGAGAGACAGAGAGACAGAGAGCAAGCAGGGGAGGGAGAGAGAGAGAGAGAGAGACAGAATCGGAAGCAGGCTCAAGGCTCTGAGCTGTCAGCACAGACCCCGATGTGGGGCTCAAACTCATGAACTGCGAGATCACGACCTAAGCCGAAGTTGGACACTTAATCGACTGCGCCACCCAGATGCCCCAAATCAAATCACTTTTTACTCATTTCTTTGATCAAACTATGATTTTTCCTAACTAGTGGAACAACGGACTTCACCCGGAGTCTGAAAATCCAGCCATGTTCTTCTGCCTTGTATCTCATCCCTAACTGCAAAGGTCCTGCCGACATAATTTAGACAGCCTCTTGACTGATGGCCTGTGGGGCCAAGCAGAGTCAGGCTGCCATCCCGTAACTGGATTAGCTTCTGTGAGGCTAACAGGAAGAGCAGGTACGTTAGACAACAAAGTGAAGAGGAATGCCGAAGGCTGGAGTGTAATGAAATTGGAGATGAGATCTTCTCAAAGCAAGATGGCTGCTCGGTCTCCTGCCAGGATGACACTGGGGAGGACCTTATGCAATTCTGCCTCAGAGGACCCTGTCCCTGCTTCCTACCTTTTCCAGCTGAAAGAGCAAGATGGGAGAGAAAGAAGAATGAGTAGATGGCCACAAGTGTACTTCTCTGGCTTTTCTTTGGACACACTAAAAGCAGAGGACTTTCCTAAGTTCTCTCCACTGCTCTGGCCACAAGTGAAAACATTGTTTAGAGCATCTAATAACTAGCCTCTCTTCCTTTATTCCTGAAGGTCTGATCATACCCTGAAATCCTTAAACTTATCTCCTTTACCTACTTTAATCCTTTCTCCCAAATCTCACCCAGTTATGGGTTGAATTGTGCCCCTACTCTGCGACCACCTCCAAATTCCTATCTTGATGTCCTAATCCTTGGTACCTTGAAATGTGACTTTATTTGGAAATGAGGTAGTTGCGGATGTAATTAGATGAGATCATGCTGGAATAGGGTGGGCTCCTAGCCATTACACTTGGCATCCTTAAAAATGGGGGAAATCAGGCATCTACAAGTAGAGACAGAAAACGGGCACATAGGCAAAATGGCGTGTGATCATGAGGGCAGAGATGGGGTGATGTGTCTATAAGGGAAGGAATGTTAAAGGCTCCCAGCAAACCACCATGAGCCAGGGGAGAGGCAAGGAAGAGATTCTCCCTTGAGGCCCCTCTGGAGGCCTGCTGTCACTTTATCTTGGACTTCTGGCCTCCAAAACTGTGAGATAAATCTCTACAATTTAAGTCACTCAGTTGACGTACTTTGTTACGGCAGCTGGAGGAAACTAATACCTACGCCCCAATTTCACAGTATATTGTGAGATACTCTTCTGGAAGTGCAGGGAAAAGGAGAAGGAAGGAATGGAGGAGAAAGAAGGGCTGGCGTTTTGGACTGGCCCTCAGAAGAGTCCAAATAAGCATTTCCCCTTTCTTTGACTCACCATCTCCAAATAGCTGCAGGATAGCAAGGTCCACCTGGCGTTTCCACCCGGAATCTTTTTGGATGGCAATGCCATAGCCTGTGGAAGCAAAGACCTTCCCGCTGCCAATGGTCACCAGCTTGCAGCCTTCATCCCTGCCCGCCATGTAGTTCAGCACTGCTGCGTCATAGATGAAGGCGTCCAGTTTCCTGTGCACAAAAGCAAACAAACAATCCAATGGAGGAATTTTAGCCCCAAGCCACCTATGGGGCCACTAATATGAAGCAATAGGGTTCCAGCCAACTATGGGGAGGACTGGCTCAGAGTAAGGCTCGAGTTGGAACTCAGCCAGGATCTAAAGCCTAAATCGCAGGTTGTTCTTTATGTGATTTCAGTTGAAAGGAGGAGTTCTTTCCCTCCCACTGGGAATGATGAGAATGTAAGTTGGGCCTGAAGTCAACTCATAAGCTGTGTCTGAAAGGAGAAGGAGTAAAAAGGAATCAATAAAAATAATAACAGAAATAACGAAAAGTAACCATCACAACAATAAGAACAAAGAGCATGGGTTAGATTTATATAACATTTTTCATTTCTCAGTTCATTACAGTCCAGAGAGGGGATAAGTGTAGGTGTATGTATTTCGATAGATGTGCAGTGCTATTTTCGTGGGCAGAAAGGTATCAGCATTCTGTTTTGCAGCACGAGGAGAGAAAGGAGGAGTCGAGGTGGTAGCAGCACAGGCTTACGTTAAGAGCAAATGTGTGCAACTACGGGAGAACCCAACGTATGGAAGAATGCAGATCTCTCAAGTTCCCAACATAGAAGGATCTCATTTTATATATTGTGCTTCCCAAGGGAAGAATATGTAGGGAAGGGAGTAAGACTACGGGTAAAGGCAGGAAGGCATGGACCAATATTTTAAACCAATATTTAGACACATCAGAGGTAGAGAAAGAAATTCAAATACAGCCATATAGGTAGGCAGTAGAGAGGTCTGTGAGAAAGAAAGGCATGCATCATCTCCTTCACTTGTACACGGTGAGTTAGCTTTCTCCCTCCTTAAGAAAAAATAAGCCCTCTCTGGGATGATAAGATACAGAACATTTTTTAAAAGGCCCATGAGGACCCTATAGAAAAGTGACACACCCAGAAAACCAAAGCTCTGATATGGTTGACAGCTGTGGTTGTACCAGGAGCCGGACTACCTACCGAAGCGGTCCTACACCCAGGCTCAAGTCCCATCTCCTATAACCTGCTGTGACTTTGTGGTGATAAGACAGAGTCTAACCGTAGTGAAGCAGACCTGCATCTGAGTGGCTCTTCCAGAACTGGAGGCGGCAGCAGGTCCAAGTGCTGCTAGTTACCGTACGACACGGGAAGTCAGCTGCAAGAGCCCTTGACCCCAAAGTCCCAACATCTAGAATGCTCACCTGTCTTTCTCATTCTACAGCTGTGGCTTCCAGAGGCCAAATGAATTAAGGGACAAATGTGGCTAGGATTCTGCAAGCCCAGGTATTTCTGGTTCATGAGCTCCCTTTAACAAACAAATACTTTCTAGTGTGTAAAGCTGGATCAAAGAACACCAACAAAAGCTGGAACTGGAGATCAGTTAACACATTCTCAGTTTGTGGTCTTAAAAACCTTCATGCTTTTCTTCTTGTATTCCTCTCTTGTCCACAAGAAACCAGAACATCATGTTCACCTTTTAGTCAACAGGTCTTCATTCCATGCGTAATACGTGAACCTTAGCCTTGACTCTTTCCTTTTACTTTTATAGCTATTTTGTTCCTGGTTCACAGTTAACTTTAATGCAAGTAAAACATAATTTGTAAAAAAGAAAAAAATGCGTAGAAGTATGTAATAGCATAGGAATCTTTGTGCACTGGCCTGAATTATATTGTCAGATTCAACTTGGAAATCCCCAGAAAGCAAATGCAGTCTTCTGTGCTTTAAGTTTGGCACCCAAGCACGATATATCTGATTCAGTGTACATTTAATAAATGTGAGAAACATATCAAAGGCTCTGAGCTTGGAAGCAGTTCTTACCCTGTTTTTAGGGAGAGCAATGCATCATCTACACCCCTCTGGTTGAACTTTCCCATGTAGGCATGCATTTCTGCATAGTTATTGCGAATATTCCTCTCTGTGCTGCCGTTGGGCACAGTCCCAAAGCGAAAAGGGGGTGAGAAGTCATTGGGTCTCTGGAACTGGAGGGAGAGAGAGAGAGAAAGGGAGAGAGAAAGAGAGAGAGAGGGAGAGAAAGAAAGAAAATGCTTCAGAAAACGTGTAGAGATATTAAGTTAGCATTAGTGGATTTAAAATGGAAGGGACCCAACTACAGTTCACCAAATACATTAGCCCTCACTTAGGAGCAGGAGTTGCTAACTGAAAGAGGACTTCAATTCAACACAATTTAATACATATCGCTGAGAGTTTTCTATTTGCCCAATCCTGAATTTGATCTATAACCTCTGCATGTTCCATTTATGCATACTATACAATACCAGTGATGATGGGGGTGTTCTGTTAGCTTAACTGCAGGGGCTTAGGCACCTTTATACCTGAAAATTATGTAAAATATGTTTCCAGGCCTCTTAATTTAGGGGTCTAAATCCATTGTCGTCGCACCATTTAAGGTCATCGAACTTCAGTGGGATGAAGTACATTGTACTCCTGAAAATAATTTGTTGGGTATCAAATATGTTTTGCTAAGAAATGTTCTTGACCTTCCCTGATGCATTAAAAGCCCCATATTTATTATCCATGAGTTGTTGAATAAATTGTAAAATCAAATATAGTTTTAATTATGTTCCTTCCCTTGCTTAAGAACCGAGAGTGGATCTCCAGTGCCTATCAAAACGCAGTGAAATCTCTTAGATTTTTCACCCTGGTGACATCAGCTTTATTTCTGGTATTGCTCTGCAATTAATAAGTCTCTATGTTGCTTCCTGAACAAATTATTCATTTGTATCTTCATGGCCTCATATAGTCTGTCCCCTCAGCATGAACTCACTTTTCTCTTGAGGCCAACTCATGTCCTTCATTTCAAAATGCAACTCAAAGCGACTTCTTCACGATACCTTCTTGTGAATTCTTTCCTCTGAGTCTTCCCAAAGTATTTGATGTTTCAGGTTTCCATCATACTACAAATGCAATTATTCTCTACAGGAGCTGGCTAAGTTCTGAGAGCTACTCTTTGATATAGCCATTAAGAATCTTAGCTCTAGACTGAGACAGATATGGATCGAAGATTAGCTCTGCCACTTATGACTGTGTGATCATGTCATGATCACAAGTGACATGAACTCTCTGTGCATTGTTTCCTCATTTGTAAGAAGGAAACAATGATGTCTATTTTCTATTTTTGTAGATTAGAGGATATAATGTATATTACATGTGACTGGCACAGCACCTTGCAGGCAGTAAGTGCTCAATAAAGGTTATATTATTTTAAACTCATGTCTATATGTTGTATTCCTCATTAAACTTCACACTCTCCAATCTCCCCATTCTATTAGCACAGCAGTGATCAGATAGAATATGACCAGAGTCTCTCTGCCGTCCCTACCTTGGCATAGGAAAGACGGCGTAGATATTTAAAAGTCCTCTTGGTTTCAATACTATGGAGATATATTTACTTTGGAGATCTATTTGGAGTACTCAGGAGTACTCTGAGCCTCTGGACTTGTGTGGGCTTAAAGACAGTCCCCTTTCTCTTTCCCTTGACCTGAAAAGCTCAAGAGCTTCTCGGAATATAGGGATTTCATAAACCGCAAAATGTCACAGCTCCAGGAACCAGAAATGCCATTCCTCAGTGCTCAGAGTTGGCCATAGTTAAAAGCAGAGTCACGCAGTGGTGTTAGGCAATCTGTGATGCATCAAAAGACCACTACTTTCTGACTCAAAAGGCTCCCAGTCTGACTTACCACAGTGTTTTTCACCATTAAGACTTTTTGTTTAATTGGTTTCGAAAGGGTTGTGATTTTTAAGTGAATAAAAGAGTCCAAGAATTTTAGAGTTGTGTAAGCCACTCAAGGTTAACGAGTCCAAACCCTTCATTTCACAGATGAAGACCAAAGTGAAGAGGACAAGTAATTTGCTCAATGTCACACAGCGGCGGTAGTGATGGCCAACATTATCGGGAATCAACTAGCTTAATTAATAGTACTCCTCATTGTCCCCAGCAGAGAGGAGAGGAAGTTTAAGTAAACAGGGATATGTTTTTTTTAAGTTTATTTTATTTATTTATTTTGATAGAGATATAGAGAGCAAGGAGGGAAGGGGCCAGAAAGAGAAGGAGACAGAGGATTTTGAGCAGGGTCTGTACTCTTATCACAGAGCCCAGTGCAGGGCTCAAACTCACAAACCGTGAGATCATGACCTGAGCTGAAATCAGGAGTTGGACCCTTAACCAACTGAGTCACCCAGATGCCCCAACAGGAATATGTTTTATGGAAGAGACAGAATACTATGAATATCGCCGTCAATTACAATACTTCATTTTTTTTTTTTTTTCAAAAAGGCAGCCCTCAAATCAAAAGCAGAGTACATTCTATAGCAGGCAGCAATATGAACAAACTCTCTTTAATCAGCAAATCCTCACTTGGCTCAAACAATGACAACCGATGCTCACAATGACCAAGATGTCCGAGGGCCCAGTGTATTTTCTGAAACATCAACGAGAGTTGAAATCATGCCCAGTACAATTCTGGTGTAGGTTATTATATGTGTGGTCTTTTTTTTTTTTTTGAAAATTGGCAATCCATGTAAGGTATATGCAACAATTTTGATTCACCAGATAGAATCAGATGCCCAGGGTGCCTCACTTCCTGATGAAGCCAGATTATGGAAAGCTTCTGTACTGTCCTTTTGTAACTTTAAAATTTTAAATTATCTTCAGATTTCCAGATGTTGTTTATAACTGTGTTCTTGAATAAAAACTAAAGAGATGATAAAGGACCTAAAATAGCCAAGATGACTTCACAAAAGAAAAAAAAAGTTGAAGGACTTATAATACTTGACTTTAAGACTTGTTATAAAGTGACAGAAATTGTGACAGTGTGACAATTGCATGGAGAGAATAAGGAGATCATCAGAACAGAATAGGGTGCCATCAATAGATTAACACATAGATGGTTGGAAAGGTAATTAAGCGGAGATAGGAATGTCTTCAACAAATGGTACCAGAGCAATTAGATATCCATATGCCAAAAAAAAGAACTTCATTCCATACCTCATGATATATATAGAAATTAACACAAAGTGAATCACAAACCTAAATATAAATTATAATATTTCTAGGAGAAAATGCATGAAACAGTCTTTGTAATCTTGAGTTAAAGATTGATTTCTAGAAACAACACCAAAAAGCACTGTCCATCAATAAAGGAAAAACAAATTAGACTTCATCAAAATTAAGAATTCCTGGAAAGACAGGTAAGATCATGAAGAGACGAAGCCACCAAGGGAGAGAAAATATTTGAGAATAAAGTCATAAAAAATCTAAAGGAAATAAATGACAACAGAGCCATGTTCTTACATAATGAAAGCATCTTCTGTAAGAAAACAACAAGCACTGAAGAATGGGAAGGCACAGTTCCTGAAATGCACCGGTCTCAGAGGCAGATCATTTGTATCAGCTTCTAGTTCTTTCTCTGACCAGCTGTGTGAACATGGGCAAGTTCTTTAAATTCACAGAGCCCCATTTTTCTGGAAGCATTATTTTTAGTAATAAGATAATATATAGGAAACCATTTAACACAGTATCTAGCACATGGTGGATTCTCAAAATTATTAACTGCTTCTCTGAGGATGAAGCAGAGATGTTCTAACATCTAAAATTGTCTTATGTTAGCCAAGGTTCCCTAAGATGGAAAACTCTTGTTCTCTAATTTGTTCCTTAAACTAGGCCAGTTCTGGGGACCAAGAGGGTGAGCGCACTGCCCTAGAATTAGCCAAAGCAGAGGCAGAAGTGAGCTTGCTTCTTCCTTTGAAAATTCTTGTCCCAGCTTGTGAGGTTTAAATAGCACTCAGATTAAAAAAAAAAAAAATCATTAGAAATTGAACTTGGCTAAAATTCATGGCCATAGAGAACTGCATGTTCAGTGAGGCCTGTGGGGAAGAAGGAGAGAATAGTCTTCCAGATACCTTGACACTTCCACTATATGCCCTATAACAAAACTTGCCCCAAGCTGTGAGGCATTATGTGGCACTTGTTTAACCTGAATGGCAATCAATGCTCTCCGGGGTTTTGGGAAGGAGTAACATTTTGTACTGTCAGGAACCAGGAGTCTTAAAATCCACAGAACAGGGAGGATCCCAAGAAACAATTAAAACAGATTTAAAAACCCCAAATACACCAAGGAGATCAACACTGGATTAAAGAGCTTTGTCTGATTTTTAAGTAGGTAATTTTACACTGTATTCCTTATTGGTCATCTCTGGCCATCATAGGGTTTCCTTGAATTTGGACTCTATTTCCCAAGTTACCCAGATTGGGATTATAGAAACAGATATAGATAGGGAAATAAAAAACACAGAAAGAAAGGAACCTTAAGGGTCAGCCCCATGTCACAAGTGAGGAAACAGAAGCCCTAAAGAGACCAAGTAAGTCATTCAAGGCCACATGGTGAAGCTGGTGGACAAGCTGAGGCTGGCCTTCCAGGAGCTGAGCCTTCCCATTACTGGTTCAGATGTTCACCGACTAGTCCCTACTACTGCTTACTGGGAAGGAAGCCCCACACTGCAAGCGGGGCCACCTGTGAGGGTATCCTCCCCTTTCTGGCACATCAAATGCTGACTCGCATTAACCCTCTGGATTCAGCACATGGCTTCCGGCAATTACTGTAAGCACACGTTTGCACAAGGGCAAAACAATGCCAAATGTTAAGAGAACTGTAATCTCACTTGATCCTCCTGGACAGCTGCAGGGAATCAGAAATCAGCCCTCTTACATGGTTAGAGCATCATCTCAGCCCCCATCTTAATAACCTCAAAGTGAATTAGTCTTGGCAGTCATGTCAGGAGAGAGGTTCTAGAAGGGTGGAGTTAAGGTCCCTGCTCCACCCAAAGATAACTGGCCTGGAGGGTCCTGGGGCTGAATAGAGAGCCTCTCATACAGCCAGCTGCAGAGGATATAGGGAAGTGGGGATCTGATCCATTTTGTCTTATTTATTAAATACACAAACTTATTTTCCTATGTATAAGG